CTATAAATTACTTTTGGACTATTAAATCAGGAACATTATCAGCAACTGAGCTGAACTGTTAACAATACTAAGATTCTACTCTAACTTACATACACAAATGCATATATGTATATACAGACATAAGGTAGTATGAAAATCACTAATAATCCAATTATTCGTTTCGTTGAATCAGAGGAATGAAACACAGGAGAACCTCTGTAAGTTGATCACCCAAGGGACTATAACAAACTATTCAATATACAGAGGGGGTCAACATAAGGAATTAGGCCTAGTGTACTGATATGTACATGTGGTACGTGTCTCGTCTATAAAATCAGGTCAACTTAAGGAGGTCAATGTGGGGAAGTGGTAAATTATGAGGTTCTGCTGTATTTTGAAAATTCCACTTGGTACATGCTGATTCATAGTATAAAAACTCTTAAGATGTATAAATTATTTTGAAATCTTTGGAAAAATACCAAATTAATATATATATAATATTTTATTAGTAGTGTGAATTTAGTACTCTTGAGAAAAGGTTAAAATTACTAATATACATACATGAACGATTTAATAATGTGTAAAAATTGTGTAACATTTCAAAAAACCTTTCTACACTGCAGAGGAAAAGGAAACTATTTGGACCCTGTAAGACCTCACCCCTGAGAAAACCCCACACTGTACCCCAGAAGTGTATTAATGTACACAGTTACTATTCAATAAAAAAAAAAAAAAGGACCTCACCCCTGAAACCTTAGTGCTGACAGGCAATTGATATGGCATAAATCTGTAACTACATGGTATAGATGCTTTAAGTTTCAGGATTTCTGCATATTTGACTAATTGCCTTACCAGGACACCCTACTAAGTGAATGTTTATGTATAAATTTAAGGAATGGCAAGAGCCCTTGAGGATCTCATCTACAGCCCCAACAAAAGTTCTCATATTTACTAGAATACAGAAATACGTAGTACAGAAATGCAGAAATATTTTGGCCAAAATGTTTCAAATAGCCAGAGATGATTTCAAAACTGACTTCTTCGCTACTAAAAAACAATAGAATAATCAGCTGGGAGTTCTGGTAGGCACCTGTAGCCCCACCAGAGGCTGGGACAGGAGAATTACTTGAGCCCAATAGTCTGAGGTTTCTATGAGCTATGCTGATGCCACTGCACTCAAGCCTGGGGCAACAGAGTAATACTTTGCCTAAAAAAGAGAGAAAGAGAGAGGAGAGGAGAGGAGAGGGAGAGGAGAGGAGAGGGAGAGGAAAGGAAATGAGAGGAAAGGAAAAGAAAAGAGACTTCTTTTCAATCAAAAGAAAATCCTTAAAGTTATGGGAAAGCACAGAAATATAGAAATTATTTTAGTTTAGCAAACATTTCTAGAGGTTCCTATGTACCACATACTACATTAAGAGTGACTAAAATAAAGATGGCTTTAAAAAGTCAGTAACCTCATGAAGCACCTGGTCTGGCTGCACAAACAGCATCACAAAGATGTAAGCAAATGACCACCATGCAGTGGGATGAGCTTACAGAGGTAGAAGCAGTGGAAGGAAGTCAATAGTACTTTACAAGGGAGGTAACAGAAGAGCAGGGTTTTGATGGATAAATAGGAGTTCACCAAGCAGGTAAAGAGAGAAGGAGAATTCCAGACTGTACGAGGGTAAGACAAACAGCAGCCTGATGTACTCATATGAGATAGCCAATTTTTATGAGGTAGTGTAAAATGCAAAGGCGGCAGTTCAACAAGGAATATAAAAATACAAGGCGATGACAGACAGTGAAGGGCCTCGAGCACAATGCAGCGGTGTTTTCACTGCATTCTATAGGCGATGGAGAGCCAGGTCTGTCAGGGGCAGCATGGTGATGCTGAACTCCCAGGTGTCGAGGTGTCACTCAGGAGAACTAGCCAGACTGAAAGTAACGATCCCCACAGAATAGCCCCGGGAGAGGTCAAGTGACATTCAGGGGAGGTGAAGAAATCACTTCACTACTGAGGAGCACTGGACAAAAGCTCCTGAGAGTCCAGTGGGAGGGGAAGAAGGAAAAGGTAGGAGTGGGAAGTGCTGAGAGAAAGTGCACAGGGGACACAGGAGGCAGGGTGTGCCCAGAATCCCTGCAACCCTCTGCAGAAAACAATCGTGCACTGGCTGGGTCCTCAGGCCAGTGAGGACCTGCCTGTAACACATAACACACAGGATTTAGGCTTGGAGACATAGGTTCCTCTACAAAAAATCATCCATCAACAAAAAGGAAGAAACCTGATGGAGAGGCTCTCAGTGATGAAGGGAAAGAGTGGGAGGCTAACGTCGTGAGCTAGGTGGCACAGGTGGGTCTGAGCCCCGGGAAAAAAAGACTGAGCTCAGTTCATATAGGAAAGGAAAGAATCCAGGAAAGATGATAAACTGGAAGAAACCAGGAGAATCAAAGGAATAGAAGGTCAGTTTAGGCAGTAGTGTAGGAAAGAGCTAGAAGGCAGGAAGTAGAGTTAGGAAGTGGGGAACCAGAGCCCACAAGTTCCAAGGGGAAACAACTGCAGCTTATCATGAAGACAAAAGCACATTCAGCAGACAAGTGAAGAGGAGGCAAGGATCCCTCAAGATGACAGCAGATGTCAGTAACAATGTGTTTAAGAGACAGTGTGAGCTTCAGAGGAAGAAGGCTGTTTGTCTAACATGAAGGCCAATTTTGGGGAGGCAGAGAGGAGAGAGACAGATGTTCCCAACCCCACCACAGTCCACAGACATGGAGATGTGGGGGGAGAAAGCAGCCCCTACTAGCCCCTTCTAGTGCTAGAAGGAAGCACTGCCTTTGTGGCAGGCTGTTCTCAGAAGAGACTTGAGAAGAGACCCCAGGGTTTCCAGCTTGCACACGGCCTGTTGTAATGAGCTCATTTTCAAAATGGAGCGCAGTTTCTAGAGCAAAGATGGGGAAAGGTTGAGAGGAAGATCAGCAGATAGAAACTGAGCAGAAGGAGAAGAGAAAATGGTGAGATCAGCACCTAGAAATACCTAATGTTAGGGTGGTGACAAGGTAAGACATGTGGCTGAAACCCTGACCAGCTTGAGGCCCCCAGGCACTGGCCTAGCCACTTTTTGCAGGTACAGCTGCACAGCAATTTTATCCCACCTGTGAGCTTTTTATTTTAATAAGCTTTATCAAAGTTTAAACCTCTTTTTAAAAATGTGTTTGCTTATCAGGTAAAGCAGTTTTAATGAAGAACAAAAATATTTTTTAATGTTCAATGAAGGAGAATAGTAAAGATACTTACTAATATTATTCTTTAAGCGCAGAAATCATATGCAAGAATCTCAGTGTTGGAAGGATTTTAAGAACTCATTTAATTTCCTCTGTTAACCCCACAGGGCTGTACTTACAGCTTAAAAATAACACTCCAGGGAAGGTAATAGCAATCTTAACAAGCTAGAGAAGGTAATAACAACCTTAAAAAGTAATCTTCCCACTGTTTGATAAACTAGTTGAGGATGTGCTTTTGGATGTCCACTTTGAAGCTTTTTGTCAGATCCTACTGCCTCTGGTCCTGTCCAAGAACAGCTAGTCCATGGTATGCAGATAGATAGATTCTAGTCCTCAAACAGTCTACCCTTTTCTAGTCTGTTTCCTCTTAGATCCAGTTTTGTAAAATGTTTTTTCAAAAAAAGGCACAGCCTTTCATTGTCCAACCATAAAATGACAGGCTGTAAGCAGCACCCTAGCTCAAGCAGAGGAAGATGCTTAGTGCCTTCACTCTGATACACACAGAGGGGTTGTTGAAGGGTGATTTTAGTACGGGTGATCTGGCTGAGACATCCATGCCCTACTTATTATCAGGGCTAAATAAATCTATTTTGGCAACTTGTTTTTCCTTCTTTGCTTACACATCCAGCATGTGTTTATCCCAACTATAGTTCACAGTTAAGTTTTAGCCTGCTGCTTCAGATGAGCACAGTACTAAAGTCATGAAAGAAATGATAGTGTGATAGTTAATTGTAGGGATCAACTTGACTGAATTAAAGAATACCTAAAGAACTGGCAAAGCATTACTTTTGGATGCATCGGTGATTGTGCTTTGGAGGAGGCTGGCTTAAGAGTCTGAGTGGACTGGTGGCAATGGTCCACTCTAATATGAGCAGACACCATCCAATTGGCTGGGCCACAAGAATAGTAACAGCCAAGGAGAAGGGGTTGCTCTCCTGGAGCTGGTATCACTCTTCTCCTGCCTTGGACATCAGAACACAGGCTGCCCAATCTCTGGGCTCCAGGACTTACACCAGCAACCCCAAGTTTCTCAGGCCTCTGGAGTTGGCTTGAGCTATACTGGAAGAGCTTGGGGTCTCTAGCCTATACACAGCCGGCCATGGGACTTCTCAGCCTCCATAATCACATGAGCCAATTCCTGTCATAGATCCATATACATCCTATCAGTTCTGCCTCTCTGGAGGACCCTAACTAATGCAGATACCCATTACCTACCACGTACTAGCACTTTGTAATAGAAGCTATGCTGTTTTGTAAGATCTCATTGAATTTCCACAACTATCTATGTAACACACTGTTTTATTTAATAATTAAAACAGATAAAATACAATTTTGGATTACCTAAATGTTAATTCCAATATCCCCTATTAAATCTTTAATGAAATCCACTCTAAAATAGTTAAACAATCAGATGGAGTGTCACCTCCTTTCTGAGCCCTTGTCCCTTCCTGGCAGAGGTATAACATGTTTCCGAATGGCCAGAAGAGAGGAATGCTAGTCACATGGGAATGGACTGAACCAGTTCAGCAGCACTTACTGACCAATTGTAAGGAAGCTGTATGAAAATGTTGTTAAAATAGTTACATTGTTGATGTTTTAAAAGAGTAATTTAATTTTGCCTAGGTTGTTTCTTTTCTAAATGATTTTCAGTACTCCTCAGAAGGATAGATATAAATTTTTTAAAATAATAGAATGAAGAGTGTTAAAAACTCAGATTTACTGTTCACAATGCCAACAAACATCAAAACAATAGTACTTACCTCCTTTGCACTCTTGATTTTGGTCAGAAATGTGTGCAGCTCCATTGTTTCTGCAAACAGTGCGCGACATACTGCCTGGTAATGCTTTGGGGCGTCTGACTCAGCGGGGAGATGAGCAGCACAGAACTACAGCAGGGCAAAAGGAAGGAACGGTGCTTGGTTAGTACTCAGGGTTTTTTGTATTTTAAAAACAGATACACTGGGGGGGTGGGAGGGTGGTTCATGCCTATTAATTTTAGCACTCTGGGAGGCCAAGGTGGGAGGATCGCTTGAGGTCTTAAGTTCAAGATCCCTTTTCTACTAAAAATAGAAAAAATTAGCAGGGTATGGCAGCACACACCTGTGGTCCCAGCTACTCAGGCAGGAGGATCACTGGAGCCCCAGACTTTGAGGCTGCAGTGAGCTATGATTGAGGCCACCAAAAAAATTCCCCCACAGACACATCTAGTATACCTGTATTTTCACATTAAGACTGCAAGGTACTTCACATCATCCATCACTTAACACACCACAGCACCATCAGTAAAGTCTACACAGTTTTATGGGAAAACTGGTCCACTAACAGATAGCCAACAGCACAGATGAGCGTACTAGAATTAGTCAGGTTCTGCTTGAAAGTGATAGGACGTATGTAAAAGTTTTAGGGAGCAGGAAAGGAAATACCATTTACTAAGTATTGATGATAATTCCAGTATTAAGAGCTACCACTTATTTGAGCGATTATCATGCCAGGTACTATATTTGACGTGCCATATAAAAACACAGTACCAAGTACTCTTTACTGTAACCTGGGGTATCCCCATACCTTTCCCCAAAGGAAACTGAAGCTAAGGAGAATCAAGTGACTCATCTATATAGGCACGGTTATCAGGAGAGAGGAGAATTCAAACACAATCCTTCAAAATTCAAAGTTCTGAAGGCCAGGCTCATTCCAACACATGTTATATTCTGTAATGTAGTACAAAAGATGTCAGAAAAATCTATGGACCACAGGAAGGTGCCTCATCAATAATTGGGCAGCGGAGGAGAGGGACGAGCAGTGAGTGAGTCTGTGAATGCTGCCTGCAGCCCTCGTGCCCTTCACTGCCCACAGCCCACAGTCCTACCGGACTGCTTGTGGGTGCAATTAAACATCACAAAACATCACACAAAGCAGTAACATGGAAAATCAAACACCATTTAACTTATTAAACTAGAGAGACATCTTATCACAGGTATAATACACAGGAATATTTTATCTTTCTATAAAATAATTTTGTATTCATGTACAATAGTTATGTTTTAAAGTACTTCATTTGTACTAAAAGCTGTAAGTTCTCTCTTAATTCTTTACTATAGTCAATAAATTTGAAATTATCACAAATACTGTTATATATTTTATTTAATAATTTCTATCAATTGAAGAACAGATGTCTTTCTAGTTTATAATATCCTTCATAATATGGCTTTTATTTTCATTTATAATACATATCTCATATAAAATATTAATAGTTAGATCACCATCTTTTATAAAAGAAATTCTCAAGAAAATATCTTGAATTTGAATAGGATATCTTCTCCACAATACCAAAAAAAGCTAAGTGACTGATCAGAAACCATGAAAAGCAAAAATCTCATGTTTAATATTCACAGAGGCCACTGGTGAACAGAAAGTAAATATTCTGCTCAATTATTTTTATATCCAGAAAACATCTTCCAGCCCAGAATTATTAATTCCAAGATAATGAAAAGAAATTGCTAAGAATTTCACCTTTATCTAACTTATCCCATAATCTTATATTCCAATTGCATATGAAAAATGGCATAAGGCAATGGGTTTCAAAATTTAACTGTTATTCCTAGAAAGGTTTTTTAAAGAAATGTTTACATATACTTAAATATTTACATATAAATACCTATGTATATTATATACACAAAAGGTTCACGAAATAAAACTTGCACATTCAAATGATTTCATACCCCAATAGGCTATAAACTATAAATTTAGAAAACTCTGGTGTAAATGATTACATTTACATAATAATGAGGTCTACAAATACTTTTAAAAATTCATCTGATATGATCTTATATACTATAAAAACCCCAAAGTAATATGTAAAAAATTATTAGTGCTAATAAGTGATTTCAGCAAATGAGTAGGATACATGATTAACAAACAAAAACTAGTTGTATTTCTATACATCACCACAAGAACAACTGGAAAATGAAATGAAGAAAACCATTCCATTTATATTTGCATCAAAAAAAAATGTTAAGCAACAAAGGTGGTGCAAGACACTGCAAAGTAAGAAGACCTCAGTGAATAGAAAGACATCCTACCCTCACAGACTGGAAAACTTAATATGGTGAAGATGGCAACTTCAGCCCAAGTAATTTACAGATCGAATGCAATCCCTAACAAAATCTCAACATCTTTTTTTAAAGAAATGAATAAGCTGATCCTAAAATTCACATGGAATTGCAAGCGGCCTCTTTTAACAACCCAATTTAGATATTAGCAAATTGAGACTTAGAACAGCCAAGTAATTTGCCCACTGTCACACAGATGACAATCAGTGACAGAAGTGAAAATGAAGTCCGGCTGTCTGACTCCAGAGCCCAAGTTCTCTTCCACTCCACTCTATAATGAATGTATATTACTTTTAAACCCAAGGAAATGGCTCGGCGCCTATAGCTCAACCGGCTAAGGCGCCAGCCACGTACACCTAAGGTGGCGGGTTCGAATCCCCAGCCCGGACCC